GATTTAGAGATAGAGAATAGAATCCAGAGTAAGAAAGTGACGAGCTCAATAAAGAGATGCAACTTTAGCAGATGCTAATTTTGCAACCGATTTGATATAATTAATACTCATTTCTTCTCACTTGTATCAAATTCTAATCTGATTTTTTCTCTTTAAAGCTCCCCTTTTATTGCATTGCAATAAATTAATAAATTTTGTAATGACAGAGGAAATTAGATAAAAGAATAGCATAGTTTCTTTTATAAATTTACTTTATCACAATTGATGCCTGTCTGAAATATTTATTTGCAGACTATTTCAATGGGGGTAGTGAAAATAACTAAATATTTTATATTTGAACATAGTATTATTGACTTTCGATTATTTTAAATAAAAAACTTAATAAAAAATTAAAAAAAAATTTCACGAACAAATAGTAATTAGTTTTTTTGCTTTCCTGTACATTGATAAAAACAGTAAAGTTTAGCCAAAACATTTGAAAAACAAAGTATTTCTTAATACAGACTGAAAAAAGTCATGAATAAAGTATATCAAAAAGTTCTTCTGTTTTCATTTTATTTTTATCTGCTTTTGCCTTCGACTTGTATTAATTTTGAGATAACATTAATACAAGTCAATATTAAGACAACAGCGCATGTGCTAAATGAACGACCAGGCAATATGAGATTTTAAGATTGCTTAAACGAATGCCTACTCACACAATTGATCACCTTCAAAACATATCATAACAACAGATTATCAGAGCCGAACAGTACTCTTGACCTAGTAAAAACAGACAACCCAGATCTTTTGATAGAAATAAAAGAGGAAGACTCATTTAGGGACACTCCAATGGGACAATCTTGCGCTCTAATCACGGGTCATTTCGTTCTGAACAAGACGATAGACGTGGCACCGATCGTACAACGAAAACAATACATCTGGAGCAGAGCCGACTACGCTAAATTCTCTCTAAAATTAAGTTCAAACAATTGGAATATTTTATTCGAAAACTACTCAACTAACCAATGTTACAATCTATTCCTAGAAGTGTTCGACAAAATAATAACAGAACTCATTCCATCGTCTACAGTGCCCTTCAAGAAGAAACGCGAACCATGGATAACAGGCAAAGTTTTAAAAGCTATTAGAACAAAACAAGAACTTTGGAATAAATATATCACCTCTGGTCGCCATACACATAGAGCTCAAAGAAGCATGTAAAAATGTAACAAAAACTTTGAGATTAGCTGTGTTAGATTATGAATAGAACCTAGCTAATTTATATAAAAACAACCCTAAAAAGCTACACGCTCATATCAAAAACAAAACTCAAAATATGTATTCAACACTATAGAAACAACTGACGGAACAATTTCGACAGCTCTTCAAATTATTTGCACAACCCTGAACAAGTACTTCCAATCAGTATTCCTATTTACAAGCAAGACAGACCTGTGTCAGAATTGGAACCCCAAACTGACAAAAAATGTATATAAGACGAGAATATCTTTTCAATCGACGATATCCATGTTCGACTCGCAAACCTAGACGAATTTAAGTCTTTCGGTGTTAATAACATTCATCCATGTGTACTCAAACACTGCGCAAAAGCTTTTGCATTGCCCTTAACGCTAATTTTCAAGAAATCTTTCTCAACCAGCACTGTACCAGACCTCTGGAAGAAATCCAACATCATGCCCCTTTTCAAGAAAGGAAGCAAACTAAAAACATCAAATTATAGACCAGTTTCTTTCACATCCATGCAAAACATTTGAGAGCATGAAAAAATAATGCAATATTGTAACTCAAACGGTTTAATAAGCATATCACAACACGGATTTGTTCAAAGAAAAAGCTGTTTGACTAATCTCCTAGAAACTTGCAACTTCCTCACAGAAGCCGCAAACAAAAAATATCCAGTTAATGTGATTTACACTGATTTTGCAAAAGCATTTGATAAAGTCCCACACAATCGCCTATTGAGCAAATTGAAAGCATATGGCATCAACAAGAAAACATTCATGAGGATGAATGCTTGGCTCAACAGTAGACAACAGCGTGTTGTCATTATTACTCATTCAACTGCTAAAATATTTACACCAAATTGGAAAAAAGTCACAAGTGGTGACCCTCAAGGAAGCGTCCTCGGCCCACTCCTTTTTGTACAATTTATAAACAATTTTTCGGACAACATTACAAGCTAGTTTAAGCTCTACGCAGATGATTGTAAAATTATGAACATCTTAAAATCGAATAAAGATATGCTAGCCTTACAATCAGACACTGATCATGCCATAAACTGGTCTCACAAATGATTGATGTTCTTTAATGTGGAAAAATGCAAAATAATGCATGTTGGTCGAGGTAACAGAAAATCTAACCAAGTCTACTTAATGACAAACACAGAAGGCACTCGTCAAAACCTGGAGGAAACTGAACCTGAACAAGATCTAGGTGTTCTTATATCAAATGACCTCAAAGTCCGTGCCCAAGTGGAGTCTGCAGTCTCAGTTAATTACAAATTGGACCTACTCAAAGAAGCATTCCAAAGCAGAAGCATTTGTCTCTGGCAAAAACTTTACATCACATATGTGCGCCCACACTTGAAATTTGCTATTCAAGCATGGTCTCCTCACCTAAAAAAAGATATTAATATGCTTGAAAGAGTTCAGCGCAGAGCAACAAAAGTTTCCTCTATTAAACCTCTTCCATATGAGCAATGCTTAAATATATTCAGATTGACATCACTGGAAAAGTGAAGAGCCAGAGGAAATCTTAATGAACAGTTTAAAATTGTGAATAAAATTGATGCTGTTAATTTTTTTGTTCCTCAAAGGTTCTCTAACAACGCATATATCAGAAGAAGTCATAATAAACAGCTTCAGAGACAAATTGTTAGCGACTGCGAAGAGCAACATCACTTTTTTACTAATCGTGGAATATGCTACCACAAGAAGAAATTTACACTCACACGGTCAACTTATTCAAAAGTTTCCTATCATGATGGACAACTTGTCTTGTCGACAATTTGCCCTACACATCATTTTAAAGATACCTGGTGTTGCATCTCTTCGTCAATAAACTTAATAATTAATGATTGACTAATTTACAGTATTATTAAATTTTGTAAAAAAAAATTAAATTATTCTTGATTGTAAATTTATTGATTCTAAATAAAATCAAATTCAAATTCAAATTCATAAAAAAACAAAAATTAATTTTAATAGACTTTAAATCTAATTTTAATTTTTAAAGTTTTGAAGAAATGAAAAATAGTAAAACGTTGAATGTAAAATTTAGTTTCAAATGAATGTAAAATAGTTTGTCAATTTTTTCAAAAGTTTTTTTCTAATCATCTGCTAACTAATTCATTACATAAAATAAGTCTCTCCATCATAGATTATCATAGATTATTAAAAGAGAAAAAAAATTCAAGAACATTTTTTTTTTACTACAAAAAGAGAGAAGTCATTTTGTTTAAGAGAATTCTTTTCACAAATGTATTTTTTGTTTCTTATTAATTCAATATCGTGCAAAGAACTTTTGACGTAATACATGTAAAGAAAAAATTATGTTTACAAATATCTAATTGGTAACTGATAAAATCTATCTATAATTTGTTTATAATCTTTATTGCAAATACTACATCAAATACCTAAAAAATAAAATAAATAAATTGTGATAAACAAACAAAAAATTATGTTAAGTAAATAAGATTGTTTTAAGAAATAAATTATAAGGAAATTATATCCAATTTTTAAATACTGAATTTAGATTCTATCTATAACTTTTGTTAAATAAGTTTAAATGATTTTTAGAAAGATTTAAAATTAAAGTTAATTACAACACAATACTTTTATTTACACAAATTATTTCTTGTCTACACTTAGCCCCTTAATGAGAAATGATTAGAACATGCGAAAAATCTGCTAAATGCAAACATTTTTATCAAAAATAGCGACAAGCGACTTAAAAAGTTGGCCAACGACCAAAATTAACAAGCTGGTTAACTTCAGTCGCCCTTCTGGCAACCAATCAAAATTCTGGGTGTACACCCCCTGATCAACATATGAAAAATTAATTTGAGATGTGACAGGTATATTAACATATAAAAAAGATTAATGGCAAAAACACCAACAAAGTTTTTTCATAGTTTTTTTTATATTTGAAAATGCACGCTCAAAACACAAAAAACCATACAAAATCCCTATGTGTTGATACAAATATGCATACAAAACCCCCGTGTGTTGATACAAATTTGCATACAAACCCCCATGTGTTAATACAAATATGCATACAAAATCCCAAGTGTTGATACAAATATGCTTACAAAATCCAGTTTAAGCAATAAATGACAATGTCAAATACAATAATTCATTAAAAAAAAACATCTAATAAATTAAATATTTTTTAAACATAAAAGTATATAAATTGATTAAAAATAAATCAAAACTACCAAGATATCAAATTAAAACCTACCAAGATGTTGGGATATTAACCAAATAGCAAAAAAATGCTTAGCATTATCAGGAATTTTTAATTTTTCTATCATCATTGTTTTAATTTCACCAGCAGTAGTTAATTTTCCTTTTTCAAGATAAAGTTTATAATCTGTACCTTCTTTCAAAAAAACCACCACATGTATTGCTGAAATAAAATTTATTTTTTGCTGAAAAACGTTTAACACATTTAAAAAAAAAAAAAAATTATTTTAACAAAAAAAATATATATTTTTTTACGCTTTGGAGTACTTTGCCCAGGTGTGCTAGGACTAAAACTACTACCGGCACTTTGTCGATAAATACCAGATTCAATTTTCAAACTTAAATTTGCACGGTTAATTTTTGCTTTATTGATTAAGGTATTCTTTAAATGTTGACTATGTTTTGTAAAATGTGCAGGATTTTTTTGCAGTAATGAATCTTTTTCTTCATCAGACTTTGAAACATCCACTCCAGCTAATCTATCACTGGTGACATCAATATCATTGTCCAAAAGATGATCCGATTCTTGTTTTGCTAAAAAATATAATATAAACAATTTTATTTGTTGGTAAAATAGCATTTAGTTTGTTTAAAGAGGTATATGATGATGTTTAAAGAGCAAGGTATATGATGATGTTTAAAAAGGTATATGATGATGTTTAAAAAGGTATATGATGATGTTTAAAAAGGTATATGATGATGTTTTGAAACTTTACAGCATATTAAAACTTCTAAAATAAATATAAACAAATATCTTTATAAACAATTATTCTTAGACAAAATAAAGTATTGATGAGGTTTAGGCTTTACAATTATTTATATACAAACTAGAACATCAAATATTGAAAATCTAAATAAAATGGTGACAAATGCAAGTTAAAAAGAACAAGGTAGATCATTACTATAAATTCAACATTCTTCAAAACTTTGTTTTAAGGCAGATATTATTACTATTAATTAGACATTCTGCAAGACTTTGCTTCAAGGCAGATATCCTAAATTAATACTACCAGACACAAATTATTTACAAAAGAGACGCCATGATAGAAAAGTACTTTTAAGTTAAAATTGATCAGTTAAGAGCACATAAAGAGGTAAAAACTCTAAAATATCATCAATAATTCTACTACAAATTTGAAAGAGCTCTCAAACACAATTGATAATATATATATATATATATATAATATATATATATATATATATATATATATATATATATATATATATATATATATATATATATATATATATATATATATATATATTGTTATCTATGTGTTAGTACTCTACACACATAGATAACAATGCTTAAATTATTTAATCTTTTTAATTAAAACAGTACTGCAACAGTAAAAAATATTAGAAAAACTCAGTTAAAAAAATATACATTTTTTAGTTCTTTTTACTATGAAATGAAAACTTTCAAAAAATTAAATACAATTTTAGAGGAACGCTTTTTATTTCAATTTTAAAAAGAAAATGGTACTACCATAAGCAGTTTACTTTGAATTCTTTATTAATTTATTAGTAATTTAGATATCTAAACAACAATCATATGTTGTTTAGATATCTAAATTATTTTTAGATAACTAAGTTGTTTTTAGAATAATTTTATTAGGTGATGTTCGATCCCTACCACATCCCTAGTAGTACCACGCTCAACTTGTTTCTTAGCGCAGCTTGTTCTTCAAGGTTTATGTTTCAGAGTTATAAAGTTGAGAGAGGGTTGTAACTGTAACTAAAGTAGCCTCCTCGATTGCAGTGGCTTCATGGTCTTGGGGAGGTAAATTGAAATTAAAAAAAAAAAAAAGAAAAAGAAAAATACTCTAACACATAGATAACAATGCTTAAAAAAGTTACTTTTAAGTATAAAATGTTGTTTTTATAAAATTTATTGTACAAAGTTTTTTAAAAACATTTATAATCATCGCAAAAAATACACTTTTTAACAAAAATATCTTTCTTTAAATGTTTTTTGAAGTATACAATCTTTAAAAGCAATATCTCGCTTTATTAACATTTACTATATTTTTTCAGTGCATTTTTCAAACGTTTTCAAATATATATATATATATATATATATATATATATATATATATATATATATATATATATATATATATATATATATATATATATTTTTATTTGCTTTTTTTTTTTTTAATGGCAAAAAAATTGCTTGAAATAAATTTGTAATTCTAAATGAAATAATTAAACTAAAAACTGTAAAATAAACGTTTTATTTAAATTCAATATAAAAACAACAAAAAGGAAAGTTTTATTTAGGTTCTAAACTAAATAATTAGGAATGGCTCTTTTACTTATTTTAATGTAAAAATTACTTTTTAACCCCTTAACCGTTAATGACATATATATACGCAAGACAAAACTTTCGAAAAACGGCGTTGATGTATATATACGCAAATATTTGTTTGAAGAAGTGTGACACTTGCAATACCGAACTATAAGCAGTAAAACCAGTCTTATATTCTAGAACATTCTTCTACAGAAATTTTAGGCTCATAATGGCAATTTTTGTAAAAGTGTAACTGATTTTATATGAATCATAGTAAACACTGTTTTAAATTAGTAAATTGTGAAAAAAAAGGTAGTGATGCAAACTTGAACTTAACATAAGATATTGTTAATATTATGCTTGAAAGTGACAATGAAATTTCAGATTTTAGTGATGGTGACCTTGATAATATTATAGGATGGCATAGACATATCCACTGAAAAGGACAGCGATGATGTTATGAACAAGTCAATTGCTGAAATCAATGAAATAATTGTTACCCAGCATGTTTCTTTTGTTGTTCTAACTCGTAAAAGACAGCAAATGACTGTAAAGAAACAAACTAGATTAGATTCTATATATTGACCAGCCTCGCGCCCCTTCTCCATCTATTAGGCTGGCGCAGAAGTATTTTTAATACATTGTTTCCAGTTTGGGATGTTGAACGCTGGATCTTCTTGATCCGATGCATGGGTTTTGCTTGTGTCTCTGTTTTTATGACTAGGCAACTCATTCTAATATCTCCAAATGAGGGTACAGCTCTAAAACTCAGTTTTATGATTCTGAGGCCGGCTAGTAGTCAGGTTTCCTGAACCGGTAGCTCTCAGAGAGGCTGATTCCATCAACAGCTGAAAAATATCAGAGTACTAACAGTGCCATATTGCGCATGGATGGTGTCCCTGTTTGTACTTTTGGTGTGCATTGCCAAGGCCACATTGGAGCCCTTTGTTACGGCTTAGGGTTTATTAGTGGAAATGAGACAATTGCTTGGGCTATAAAACAGTGTACTGAGTACTATCTATGTTTCGAGTCAAGTTCTTTAACAAATTTCAAAATGAATAAAGTAACAAAAACTATAAAACACAAAAAACCACAGTCATCACCAAGTTCGCTAAACCTATCATTCACCATCTTACAACTACCTTAAAGCTGACTGGGACTCTTTCCGTGATTTTCTTTGTGATGGCCCCTGGGTAGAAATCTTTGGTCTTCCTGTTGACAAATGTGCTTCTTACATAACTTCGTGGATTCAGGCTGGCATGTAACCCTTTATTCCCTCTCAACGATTCCAGGTCAAGCCTCACTCTTCTCCATGGTTTTCATCACATTGTGCTGCTGCAATTGTTAATCGAAACCATTACTTCCATATCTATCAGCAAAACAATTCTCCAGAAAACAGACGTCTGTTTATTACTGTTAGGAACCATTGTAAAAAAGTTTTGTCTAATGCCAAATCCCGCTATTATCAGATCATGAAATCTCGTATTTCATCACAAAAATTAGGCTCTCGTGACTTATCTTACATTGTGATTCATGTGTCCATGAGTCTCTAATACCAGATGAGTCTCTAATACCAGCTGGAGATTTTTGAACTCTTATTCGCAAGTGAACTTGTAGATATGACAGTAAACATGACAAATAAATATTCAGACCAAAGAAATTTAGGTCAAGTGCATTCTATGTCTATCCATATCTGAAGACAATTGATAACATTCAAATGTACTTAGCTGTGCTAATATACTGTGGCTTATTACAACAAAAAAAGTGATGTTTGATTATGATTTTACCTTGCTTTGAGAATTATCATAATGTATTAAAATATTACTTCTAAATTGTAGTAAGGTCTATTTAATATATTATAGATTTAATTAAATTTTTAATAAAATTTACCAATATTTCGGACTCTTTTTGTTCATTTTATATTATACTTGCATTTTTTTAAAATTATCCTGGCACTGGAGCTATTGCGCACTAAAATTAGGTGACGGTCAAAGGGTTAACATAAAATACTTAAAATAACTCATATTAAAATATATAAATTGCTTACATTTAAAAGTAATTCTTTTTTTTTTTTTACATAAATTATATAAAATGTAAAACTTAATTACTTAAGTTTAGTTTTTTAAATGAGTAACTGTTACTTAAAAAAGTAATTTATTTTTATAAGGAAAAGTAATTTGCATTTTTACTTTTATTTGTAAAGTAACTTTCTTTAAATGGTAAGTTGTGTAAAGTAATTTACTTTGAAAAGTATTTTTGGTTATAATTATGTAAATTTACATCAAAAAGTAATTCATTTTTTATATGTAAAAAAAGTTATTTATGAAGTAAACTTAATATTTAAAAAACATAACACTTAATTTACAAAGTAAAATAAAACTACATCATAAAACCAAATTACTTTTATGTGTATAAATAACTAATTAGCAAAAACAGATTACATAAAAGTAATTTGAAAAAAATTGTTATTTACAATTACAAATATAAGTAAATTTTGTCTTTGACATTTTATACTTTAACTTTGCAAGAAAATGTAAGTTATATTATTTACTTTCTCAAAGAGCAGTCATTTCATGTTGATTTAACATAAATTTTGAGATGGTAACACATTCAAATGCATTTCCTATTTGTGGGCACTTCTGGGTAATACTTTAGGTAATACTCTGATTTGTGTGGGCAGTGTTTGTATTGGAGCATTGTGAAAGGATTTCTTTATGTGTATCATAAAGCAGGCCTTGCGATGAATAAGAACTGTGCGACGCATAAGCACGACGTGATTTTTGACGTCATTAAATTCTTTTTATTTGCTTTTCATATTTATCAACGTTAACTGCACCAATTTACTTAATTACCGCAAAACTACTTTAAATCGTTTATGTAGAAATGTTATTATTTAAAAATGTTTTGGAATGTTTCTTTTTTTAAAATGTAAAAACATTTGTTTATTTTCTCGACGTTTGTCACGTTTTGTCTATACTAAACGAATAAAAAACATTATAACTTAAATTTAAAAAAGATTATAAAATATGCTAATATTTGATTTTTTTTTTATTAATCCTTTTTTATTTTTTTATTTGCCCTCACCAATTTTTAAAATGTTTCCTCGAAATTACTCTTAAATACTTTAAATATGTCTAACAGTTAATAAATATTTTTAAATCTATGGAATAATTTTAAAACCTAACAAACCCCCGTAAAATAATTATTTAAGTTTAAAATCTAAAACTAAAAGAAAGTA